CCCTCACTCTTTGGATAGAACAATTCAAAGGCAAGTGTTTCACCCCAATTCTCAGGGATTTCCTGCAGAATTAAGCCCTAGTCACCCACAGTGCTGAGTCACCCATAGTTGCTAAGTTAATAATACACCCTTATTGGCCGTCTTTTCTTCTCGATATTACTTTTCCATTCCCACCTCTGATGTTCCCTGTATCTCTTAAATAAACTACCTGCCTTGAATCCTTGTCTCAGGGTCTATGAGAGAACTCAAATCTCTGAAGACATCTTTTGCTTACTAAGCAATCCAAAGTATCCACGAGAGCAATTAAAACTCCCAAGCAGCCTTCTGCATTTGATTTTTTTTTTTTTTTTTTGCCTTCTTCCCCATAGATTTGCCAAACTGCAGAGATGTCTGTCAAGATGCCGAGCCTAAGAACTGGGAAGCCTCTAGTTGGTCCATAACAAAAAACACCAATGCAGCTCTGCAAAAGACAACCTCACTTTTTCATGGGTACTATCCCAAGAGACAGAGACAGAACTCAGTGGCTCCTTTTCATCTCGACTCTCCAAAGTGGCTGAATAGCCTTTGCCAAGGTATCAGTTTTCCCATGGTGAGGACTGCCAGGCAATTAGATTCTTGCTCTCTCTAAATTTCAGCAGGAGCACAGAATTTTTATTTTTAACTGTGCAGGAAGATGTTGCCATGGCAGCGTAACAAACTACAAGAGCAATTTGATTGATTGATGATGTTGTGGGGAAGGAGGACTGGTATGAAAGACACTGAAAAAAAAATCATATGGCTTCATCACTCTGGACTGAGTTTATAGGTCTTGGTTATTAGACACTTATAGTATGTGATACATGTTTATCATTATGCAAAAGGAAGCATAGATCTTTTCTGCCTTGGTTCCCCAAAGCAAGATAATGACAAACTAGTGAATTGACCATTAAGAAAGTGAGCTGGACTCATGAATTTAAGAGACATGACAAATGTGGCTGAAAGAACATAATATTTGGAAGGCAGACTAGGCATAGTAGAAGGTTCGGATGCCCCACCCACCAATTAATGGGGAACATTCTGCTATTCCCTGCCCTAAGAACATTTCACTTTCAGCCATCCTCTCCTTTCAATTAATCTTCATCTCCAACTTCCTTCCCTACAGACCAGGGAAGGCAAGGGAGCAAGCTAGTAGGGAAGAAGAGGGGAATGAATGAAGAGTGGTTTTCATCAGACAGGAATGTGGAAAATCCTTTTGGTAGGGCAGGGAGAAAGTTTTAGGGCAGCAGCTCTCAAAAGTGGTCTGGATTCTCCTGTGGGTCACAAGATCCATTCAGAGGCTGCATAAGGCCAAAACTACTTTCATGATTCTACGAAAACATTATTTGCTTTTTATACTCTCACTATTTCAGGAAGGCGCAGTGGAGTTTTCCAGAGGCTACATAACATATGATATCATTAACAGTTTAAATGCTGAAGCATATATCTTTCATTAGATATATGCTGAAACAGACACTGTCTTCTATTAAGCCACACATAAAAGACGTTTCCAAAAAAAAGTAAAATCATGCTACTTTTCTGACTGTTTTGTTTCAAAAAATATAGTTCATTAAAGATGCTATTTATGGGGCCAGGCGCGGCGGCTCACGCCTGTAATCCCAGCACTTTGGGAGGCCGAGGCTGGTGGATCACGAGGTCAAGAGATCAAGACCATCCTGGTCAACATGGTGAAACCCCATCTCTACTAAAAATACAAAAAATTAGCTGGGCATGGTGGTGCGTGCCTGTAATCCCAGCTACTCAGGAGGCTGAGGCAGGAGAATTGCCTGATCCTGGGAGGCAGAGGTTGCAGTGAGCCGAGATCGCGCCATTGCACTCCAGCCTGGGTAACAAGAGCGAAACTCCCTCTCAAAAAAAAAGATGCTATTTATGTTAATAAGTAATAAGATTGTTTTTATTTTTAAATAAATCAGTAACTATTTTTGTTTTAATTTCTAATGAGGTTAATATCAGTAGAAATAACCCACTCAAGCAAAAATTCTTTGCGGTTTCAATAATTTTTAAGAGTACAAAGGGGCCTTGAAACCAAAAATCTTGAGGACCAGTCACAAGAGATGAGACTAAGATCACCACATTACTAAAGTTCCTGAGAAAGGAGTCAGAACCTCAGCACAAAATGGGCTGGAAAGGATTAAAGAATATCCTGTTCGCCAGATGAAGCCTCTGGGAGAAGTTCTGCACTCACTCTGCCACCATCATTAACAAGCTCTGGAGCAGTAGAGTAGGTGGCAGCAAGGATAGCAGGGCCTGAGCAAACAGTTCCACTTCCGGTTATCCATGGCTGCACACAGTGTGAAGGGATTCAGAAGCCCAGTGGGGGCCGGCAGAAGTGATAACTCAAAGAGCTGGAATTGGCGTGGAAGCAAGGCAGGAAGACTGCACACTGTGGTGCTAATTCCCCAAAGGCTTGAACAGGGACCATCTACTTCCACCTATAGGCAGGAGACTTAGGCAAATTTAAGGTGGCTTTTTTCCTGCATCAGTTGAAATTGTTGCTCAGAACAATATGAGCTCACCTAATTTTTTTGTACATATAAGTCATAGTGTTTACATTTTGACATCATCTCCAAGTTCTTTTTCTCTATTCCACTCCTTTAGAAAGCTTTCCTTAATCATTTCTTCATCTTTTTTTCCTTATCATTCTCATTTTCCCTTCCATTTCTTTCCCTTTCCTTGTCCATCTGATTTTATTCTCCCTCCTCTATATTCTTTTTCATTGTTCTCTGCCTTAGGTCAGTTAATCATAGCCTAAATCTACTGACCCAACAGTATTCAAAGTTGTTTCCAAGAGTTGCTAATTCCCGTGCCATTTACTGTGAGCATACGATAGTACACCGCGAACTTTATACAGAGTATTTCATTTAGTCTCCATGACAACCCTGTATTTAATGTTTATGCTGAATGTTTTATTGCAGCTCAGAGGAATAAAATTTGTCTAGTTTGCACAACTGGTTATATGTGTCGGGGTCAGGATTTGAACCCACACTCATCAAACTCCAAGCCCATGCTCCTTCCTCTATATCAAGCAGCCTCCACAGGTACAGTATTTTACAAGTTACAGTCCAAGAATTATTTGCACCCCAATCTTCCCTGCCCTCTCTTACTCTTTGCTTATGATATATGTTTCTTCTGGGTCCACATTCTTCATAAGTTGATGGTTGTAGACAAACCAAGAAATAGGGAGCAGTCACATCCAACATTATACCTAGACTATCATCTAAGACTAAAATGCAGAAACTTTACCACTGGAATGCCAGTTTATATTTTTCTTTAATCAAATATGCCTTGAAAGTTGATGTTGTGACAGAAGTCATATGATGAAGTCAAAGAAATGTCAAAATTCCCAGAACCTTATTGGGTACAATTCTTAAATTATCTTTAATTGAGCACTTACTATGTGCCAGGTACACAACTAGTTAATGTCTATATGTCATCTAATTCAACTCCTGCAACAACTCTACATGACAAATTTTAATTCCCTTTCACAGATGAGAAAACTGAAGCTTTAAGTGTTTAAAATACTTTCTTATGATATCACAGCTAGTAAATTCAAACTCAGGTCTGTCAGATTCAAAGCTTAAGTTCTTTTCACTCCCTGCAATGATCATGTTTCATCAATATGTTACAATCCCACTGCTAGTATGCGACTTGGAGTTATTAGATATTTTTTTTGGCATAAACTTTTTCGGATTCAATGTGTCACCTCAGGCGGAAAACTGCCACGTAGAGATAATGCATTGTCCCAGGAATGTGTTTTTTAAATCAGAAACAAATCCATTTCTCTGCTTTTATATTGCATTGATGTCCTTCCTCCTCTTAAAGTTCTCCTGAATGATAGAGGCATTGAAAATGGGATCTCGCATGCTAGTTTTCTTGTCACCATCTGCTAGCTTTTGTTGCCACCCTCCTCCTTTTTATTTTTTTGAAGAAAATAGTGAAATAGCTTAGATATTAAACTATAAATTATACCAAGATGTGATTTGGAACTGCAATAAACCTCATGTTTTTTTAATGGGAATTTTCAAACACTGAAATATAATTTATTACCCAAAGGAAAAGAGGAATCTAGACTTTGCTACTTCTCCCCAGTGCCTTGGTGACAAGTAAACTCAGGTTTCATCAAGGAATAACCAGAGGAAAGGGCACAGATTCAAGAATCTCATAATCAGAATGAATTTTTGAAAGACATGCAACCACCTGTATGCATTCAGGCATGAGCTCCAAACATTTAAAGTGACTGAAACATGCTACAAAGTTAAGCACAGTTTCATCTGTGAAAAAAATAAAAAAAGAAAAAAAAAGAAAGAGAGAGAAAGAAAGAAGGAAGGAAGGAAAGAAAGGAGGGAGGAAGGAAGGAAGGAAGGAAAGAAGGAAGGAAGGAAGGAAGGAAGGAAGGAAGGAAGGAAGGAAGGAAGGAAGGAAGGAAGGAAAGAGAGAGAGAGAGACAGAGAGAGAGAGAAAGAGAGAGAGAAAGAAAGAAAGAAAAGCACCATTCCAGCTAGGTGCAGTGACTCACACCTGTAATCTGTAATCTCAACTACTTGAGAGGCAGACATGGGAGGATAACTTGAGCCCAGGAGTTCACCACCATCCTGGGCAACATAGTGGGACCCCATCTCTACAAAAACTAAAAAAGTTAGCCAGGTGTAGTAGCACATGCCTGTGGTCCCAGCTACTTGGGGAGCTGAGGCAGGAGGATTGCTTGAGCCTAGGAGGTGGAAGCTGCAGTGAGCCTAGATTCTGCCACTGCATTCCAGCCTGGGTGAAGACAGAGAAAGACTCTGTCTCAAGAAAATAAAATGCTTTTAAAAATTTTTTAATTAAAAAAAAATTGTAACCTAGTTTCCAAGATGGCAGATTAGAGGCTTTCGACATACCTCAGCCACTTGGAAATAGCAAGATAGTACCTAAAGATGAACTCTGTGAACTTTATTCAAGAAAGAAAATGGGAATCCACCGGAATCATGAAGGACACCCCAGAGATGAGAACATTGGCAAACAGCCCCCATGATGGTGTCCAGCTGGTAAAAGTTAATGAAGCCCTGGTACATGAGAGAGGCAGAGAGCCCCTCTCTGTGACTGACCTTTCCACTGGGGATCTGAGCAACGCAGGCCAAGGGAGAGCACTTTGTTTCTCCTGAGCCCTGGAGTTAATTTTGGGAAAGACTTGGAGACGCTGTGAGGGAAAGACACCAGGAAAAGCTGCAGGCATTTTCCCAGATCCAGAACTAGAAGCAGGACACCATTTCTAACATGGGCACATACAAAGTAAGCCATTCTTTGGCAACCGAGTAGCATGGCTGCATAGGTGTTTTAATCTCAGTCCAAAGATTGGAGTGCCTGCTGGGGAGTGGAGCAGGGGCCTCAGCAGAAGGTGCTGGGATACACAGGCTACAACTGCAGTTTCTCCTGGGCAGTGAGACTTGCAGTCAGGGCCAGCTTGGTTGCCCCACCCTGCTCCCCTGAGATTTTAGTGCAGTGGGGACTCTAACTGCTCCACCCCCAGGCAGAAATCCAGACTTTGGAACACCCATTTTCCTGGACCAGCAGCCTGAGCCTCCCACCCCTTCTGGACATAAATCTTGCTGCTATAGGGCTCTCTTTGCTCCATGCTCATGCAAATCTCCAGGCATCCAGAGAACCTGCTCATCTGGATCAGCAGCCTGGCCCACCTAACCCTTCCTTTGCAGAGATCTGGGTGTATGACCCAGGTAGATGTCCCAGCATTCAGAGCACCTTCTTGCTTCATCCAGCAGCCTGAGTCCCCCGACTCCTCCTGTGCAGAGATCTTGGTGTGGGTGGTGACCTTCTCTGCTCCACACCTAGGCAGATCTCCAGGCATTCAGAGCACTGCTCATTAGATTAGCAGCCTGAGACACCCTACCCTTCCTGTTTAGCAGTCCTGTTACAGAGAGATCCTCTCTGCTTCATACCCAGGCAGATAGATCATCAGGCATTCAGAGCACCCAGTCATCTGGTCCAGCAACCTAAGCTGCCCTACTCTTCCTGGACATAGATCATAGTGCAGCAAGACCCTCTCCGTTTCACACCCAGGCAGATCTCCAAGCATCTGAAGCCCTGACTCTCCTGGATTAAAAGCTTAAGCCACCCTGATCTCTGTGTAGAGAACTCAGAGACAAAAAATTTTCTCAGCTCCATGCCTAGGTACACCTCTGGGCATCTGATGGCTACCCACTGGATTCTCCCTTGGCACTGGTGCCATCAGGGGACCTGCACGTGGACCTGTCTAGTCCAGCCTCACCCTTTGGGTCTCCCTTTGCCCCAGGATGAGCAGGGAGCTCAGATAACTATGCATTCTATAAATCAGCCCATAGTATGAGGCAACAGAGAGCTTCTGTCAGTAGCAAAGATGAAGTATATACCCAGCCACATTGTCTTCTTCTGGCTCTTACCTGAAAGTGCCAGGCTTATTGGATGAACTGTACAAGCCCACATAAAATCTGACAAAATAAATGCATAGGGCTATAGAAAGAACTAAAAGACACTTCCCAGCCTTCTCTAAAGTCACATCTCCTAGGGAGGGAGAGGGAAAGGGACAGGGAAAAGAAAAAAATTTTTTTAATAAAAAGATTTGGGAGGGAAAAAAGAAAGGAAAAATTCCTACCTGCATAAAAATAGTTACAAAAGTTAGAAGTGCCCATATCTCCAGAAATGAGAGGGACACAGTGCAAGAATTCTGGCACTCTGAAAAATCTCAACGTAGTGACACCACCAAATGATTGCACTAGCTCTCCAGCAATGGTCTCTAATCAAAATGGAAACTCAGAAATAACAGATAAATAATTCAAAGCATCAATTGCAAGGAAACTCAATGAAATTGAAGACAAGATTAAAAATAAACACAAAGAAACCTCTAGAGCAACCCAGGAAATGAAGAAGAGATAGATATCTTAAAAAAAAATCAATCAGAGCTTCTGGAATTGAAAAACTCACTTAAGGAATTTCAAAATACAATTAAAAGCTTTATCACTAGACCAGACTGTGCAGAAGAAAGATTTTTCAGAGCTTGAAGACAAGTCCTTTGAACTAACCCAGTCTAACAAAAATAAAAATTAATTTTAAAAAATGAGTAATGCCTTTGAGAAATATTGAATTATATAAAGCAACCAAACATACAAACTATTGATATTCCTGAGAGAGAAAGAGAAAAGGCAAACAACCTGGAAAGTATATTTGAGAGAATAATTCAAGAAAACTTCCCTTATCTTGCTGGAGAGGTAGACATCCAGATATAAAAAATCCAGAGGACACCTGCAATATACTGTACAAAACAAACATTGCCAATACATAGAGTCACCAGACTGTTCGAGGTCAATGCTAAAAATATATATATATATCTTAAAGGCAGCTAGTGAAAAAAGACAGATCACATACAAAGGAATGTGAACTTCTCACATAAAAACGCTAAGAGTAGACAGTCTGGCCATCGCCCGTGACCGAGGCAAGGGCCCGGTGGCCGAGGAGCCGCTGAGCCTGCTGGATGACATGAACCACTGCTACTCCTGCCTGCAGGAACTGACCGGCATCCCGAGGGGCACTCAGCTTAGCCAGGTAGAAATCCTACAGCACGTCATCGACTACATCCTCGACCTGCAGGTGGTCCTGGCCAAGTCAGCCCCTGGACCCCGCAACGGGTCCCATCTCCCCATCCAGACAGCGGAGCTCGCTCCAGAACTTGTCATCTCCAATGACAAAAGAAGCTTCTGCCACTGACCCGGCCGTCCTGGCACCTCCTGAATGCAGGAGCTGGTGCCCGTTTGGCCTGGGACCCCGGGAACCTCTCCTGCCGGAAGCGGGATGGCATGGATGGGCCCCAACTTTGCCCTGCCCACTTGACTTCACCAAACCCCTTCCTGGAGGCTGAACCTGGTGCCCAAGAGCGAAGGACAGTGAACTTGTGTGGCCTGAGGAGCCAGAGTTAGCTCTGGCCACCAGCTGGGCGACGTCACCCTGCCCCTACCCCACCCCCAAGTTTTAAGGACTGTCTTTTCAGAGCATGGAGGTGTGGAGGGAATGGCTGCTCTCCAGACTCTGCCAAGGCAGCAGCAGAGCTGGTCTTCTTGTCTCCTTGGAGAAAGGTTCTGATGCCCTGATTTATGAACTCTATAAAAGAGGGAATCCTTCCCAAATCATTTTATGAGACCAACATCATCCTGATACCAAATCCCAGCTGAGACTCAACAAAAAAAGAAAACTTCAGGCCAATATCCATGATGAACATAGACACAAAAATCTTCAATAATATACTGGCAAGCCGATTGCTACAGCACATCAAAAAGCTTATCCATCATGATCAAGTAGGATTCATCCCGGGGATGCAAGGCTGGTTCAACATATGCAAGTCTATAAATGTAATTCACCACATAAACAGAACCAAATACAAAAACCACCTGATTATCTCAATTGACACAGAGAAGGCCTTTAACAAAATTCAACAGCCCTTTATGCTAAAAACCCTCAATAAACTCGGTATTGATGGAACGTATCTCAAAATAATAAAAGCTATTTATGACAAACCAACAGCCAATATCATACTGAGTGGGCAAAAACTGGAAGCATTCCCTTTGAAATCTGGCACTAGACAAGGATGCCCTCTCTCACCACTCCTATTCAATATAGTACTGGAAGTTCTAGCCAGAGCAATCAGGCAAGAAAAAGAAATAAAGGGTATTCAAATAGGAAAGGAGGAAGCCAAATGTCTCTATTTGCAGATGACATGATAGTATACCTAGAAGACCCCATCGTCTCAGCCCAAAATCTCCTGAAACTGATAAGCAACTTCAGCAAAGTCTCAGAATACAAAATCAATGTGCAAAAATCACAAGCATTCCTGTACACCAATAACAGACTGAAAGAGAGCAAAATCAAGAATGAACTGCCATTCACATTTGCTACGAAGAGAATAAAATACCTAGGAATACAACTAACAAGGAACGTAAGGGACCTCTTCAAGGAGAACTACAAACCACTGCTCAACGAAATAAGAGAGGACACAAACAGATGGATAAACATTTCATGTTCATGGTTAGAAAGAATGAATATTGTGAAAATGGCCATACTGCCCAAAGTAATTTACAGATTCAAAACTATCCCCATCAAGCTACCAGTGACCTTCTTCACAGAACTGAAAAAAAAAAACACCTTAAACTTCATATGAAACCAAAAGAGAGCCCTCATATCCAAGTCAATTCTAAGCAAAAAGAACACAGTGGGAGGCATCACACTACCAGACTTCAAACTATACTACAAGGCTACAGTAATCAAAACAGCATGCTACTGGTACCAAAACAGAGATATAGACCAATGGAACAGAACAGAGGCATTGGAGGCAACACAACATATCTACAACCATACAATATTTGATAAACCTGACAAAAACAAGCAATGGGAAAAGGATTCCCTGTTTAATAAATGATGTTGGGAAAACTGGCTAGCCATGGGCAGAAAGCAGAAACTGGACCCCTTCCTCACACCTTATACTAAAATTAACTCCAGATGGATTAAAGACTTAAACATAAGACCTAACACCATAAAAACCCTAGAAGAAAATCTAGGCAAAACCATTCAGGACATAGGAGTAGGCAAGGACTTCATGACCAAAACACCAAAAGCATTGGCAACAAAAGCCAAAATAGACAAATGGGACCTCATCAAACTCCACAGCTTCTGCACAGCAAAAGAAACAGTCATTAGAGTGAATTGGCAACCAACAGAATGGGAAAGAATTTTTGCAGTTTACCCATCTGACAAAGGGCTGATATCCAGAATCTACAAAGAACTAAAACAGATTTACAAGAAAAAAAAAAAACAAGCCCATTCAAAAATGGGCAAAGGATATGAACATACACTTTACAAAAGAAGACATACATGAAACCAACAAACACATGAAAAATGCTCATCATCACTGGTCATTAGAGAAATGCAAATCAAAACTACATTGAGATATCATCTCACGCCAATTAGAATGGCGATCATTAAAAAATCTGGAGACAACAGATGCTGGAGAGGATGTGGAGAAAAAGGAACACTTTTACACTGCTGGTGGGAGTGTAAATTAGTTCAACCATAGTGGAAGACAGTGTGGCGATTCCTCAAGGACTGTTTACAATAGCAAAGACCTGGAATCAACCCAAATGCCCATCGATGATAGACTGTACAGGGAAAATGTGGCACATATACACCATGGAATATTATGCAGCCATCAAAAACGATGAGTTTGTGTCCTTTGTAGGGACATGGATGAATCTGGAGAACATCATTCTCAGCAAACTGACACAAGTCAGAAAATGAAATACCTCATGTTCTCACTCAGAGGTGGGTGTTGAACAATGAGAACACATGGACACAGGGAGGGGAGCACTACACACTGGGGTCTGTTGGGGGAAATAGGGGAGGGACTTCGAGGGGTGGGGAGTTTGGGAGAGATAGCATGGAGAGTAATGCCAGATATAGGTGAAGGGGAGAAAGGCAGCAAATCACACTGCCATGTGTGTACCTATGCAACTATCTTGCATGTTCTTCACATGTACCCCAAAACCTGATATGCAATAAATATAAATAAATAAACAGAGGCACAAAATGCCAAAATCTCTGGGATACAGCAAAAGCAGTGTTAAGAGGAAAGTTTAGTGTTTTATATGTTCCCCAAAATTACTTTGAATCGGTCACCAGCATAATCATGAGTTCTTGGTGATACAATGGTGAGACTTGTAATGAGCAAAAAGCTACCTGGAGTAGCTCTTCTTTTCCTTCTTTCTTAGCAACCTGTTTTTTGATTACCGTAAGACAACACAGATTACCTGAAACCCCTTCCAGTATAAGTAGGCCCTCCTTCCTTCCACATTTAATTGCTTAATAGTTTGAAGAAACTATTGGAAATGGGCATTTTATACATGTATGGCTTTAAAATATTAAATATGAACAAAAAGAAAAAATATGAGAAGGTTTATGTGGGTCTGTAAGGTATGGCTGTAGAAAGATATTGTAGTAGTTTTGACACTATTGTTATTACCTTTAAAATCATTTACCCAATAAAATGTTAAAACCGAAAAAAAAGGAAAGTTTATAATGCTAAATATCTACCTCAAAAAGTTAGAAAAATCTCAAATTTATGATCTAACATGACATGTAGAAAACTAGAAAAACAAGAACAAACTAACCCCAAAGTTAGCAGAAGAAGAAAAGAAATAATTAAAATCAAAGCAGAACTGAATGAAATAGAGACAAAAAAATTATACAAAGAATCAAGGAAACCAAAAGACGATTTGACATGATAAACAAGATAAATAGACCACTATTTAGATTAGCACAGTAAAGGAAAAGATCCAAATAAGCACAACAGAAATAACAAAGATGACACTACAATTCATCCCACAGAAATAGAAAAGATCCTCAGAGACTACTGTGAACACCTCTATGCACACAAACTGGAAATCCAGAGAATATGGATAAATGTCTGGATACACACAATCTTCCAACACTGAATCAAGAAGATGTTGAAACGTTGAACAGACTAATATCAAATTTTGAAATTTAATCAATAATAAAAAACCTACCAACCAAACAAAATCCCCAAACCAGATGGATTCACAGTCAAATTCTACCAGATCTTCAAGGAGCTGGTACAAATCCTATTGAAACCATTTCAAAAAATCAAGGAGGAGAGACTCCTCCCCAACTCATGCTATGAAGCCAGCATCACCCTGATACCAAAACCTGGCAAAGACACAAGAGAAAAAGAAAACTATGGGCCAATATCCTTGATAAAAACAAAATACTAGTAAACTGAATTCAACAACACATCAAAAAGTTAATTCACCATGATTAAGTAAACTTCCTTTCTGGGATTCAAGGTTGGTTTAAGATAGGCAAATTGATAAATGTGATTCATCACCTAAACAGAATTAGGGACAAAAACCATATGATTATCTCAATAAATGTGGAAAATCTTCCAATAAAATCCAACATCCCTTCATGATAAAAACCCTCAAGAAACTTGACATCAAAGTAATAAGAGATATCTATGATAAATCCATAGGTAACACCATACTGAACAGGCAAAAACTAGAAGCATTTCCCTTGAGAACTGGAACAAGACAAAGATGCTGACTTTCTTCACCACTTCTATTCAACACAGCACTTGAAGTGCTAGCCAGAGCAATCAGGCAAGAAAAGAAATCAAAGACATCCAAACAGAAAAAGAAGAACTCAAATTATCTCTCTTTGCAGACAATGATTCTATACCTAAAAACCCCTGAAGACTCCATCAAAAGACTCTGGAGCTGATAAATGACTTCAGAAAAGTTTCAGGATACAAAATCAATTTACAAAAATCAGTAGCATCTCTATACACCAATAACGTTCAAGCTGAGAGCCAAATCAAGAGCACAATCTCATTTAGAATAGCCACATACACAGTAAATACTTAGGAATACATCTAACTAAGGTGAAAGATTTCTACAAGAACTATAAAACACTGCCAAAAGGAATTAAGATGACAGAAACAAATAGAAAAAAATTTTATGTTCATGGATTGGAAGAATCAACATCATTAAAATGGCCATTCTGCTCAAAGCAATCTACAAATTTAATGCTATTCCTATCAAGCTGCCAATGTCATTTTTCACAGATGTGGGGTAAAAAATAAACCTATTCTAACATTCATATGGGACTAAAAATGAGCCCAAATAGCCAACGCGATCCTGAGTAAAAAGAACAAAGTCAGAGGCATCACATTGCTCACTTCAGACTGTACTATAAGGATACAGTTACCAAAGCAGCATGGTACTAGTACAAAGACAGACATATACACCAATGAAATGAAACAGAGAATCCAGAAATAAAGCCACACACCTACAGCCATCTAATCTTCAACAAAATTGACAAAAAATAATCAATGATGAAAGAACTGTCTATTAAATAAATATTGTTAGGATAGCTGGCTAGGCATATGCAAAAGAATGAAACTGGACTC